GCTTGACTGGAGTGGAGGATGTGTGAAAGGCCTAAGTCTGAACATTGGCTGTGTTCCCAGGCTTGCTTCCATCTGTTGATAAGCAATGGAGGTGGGAGGATATGCCACATTTGATAGAAAGCTCTAAAGCAAAAACTTGCCTATAAAGATCCCTGAGGTATCTCTGATCACTCTAACCTGTCACCACCATCATATTCACTCTTTGACTCCCCCTCTCTCTTTTGCTGGCAATGTTGCTGTGAGAAACAACCCTGATTTGAAGGTACAAAGGGGCTTTATTCAAGATGGATGCTAGTGTCATCTTGGAGTGAGGAGCTCAGCGTCAGCATGCATGGCTGAAGTCAGAAGCAAAGAGGCCCATCCCAGCAACTTTTAACTCCTCCACCAAATCCTTCAGGACATCACAAAGGAACCTTCCTCCCCCCGTGCTCTGGAAATTGAAATAACAATTCCCTATGGGCAAAGTTCGTACCTGCATATAGCTGAGCACTTTGAACCCACTGAGCTTCTCGCCTGGAGAGTTCTGACAACTCATGCCCGATTTCAGAAAGTGATGTTTTTTTGCTGAGGAGGTGGGGCCGGAGTGCTTCATTGTCTCAACTGACAACAAGTCCTGACTGCAGCTTTTCTTTCCTACTTATGATGTGACACGGCAAGTTCTGATATTGCCCTTACTGAGAGGCATGATGGGAGACAGAGAATTAATGCACCAGCCTGTGTTGTGTTGCACTATGGTAAAAAGCCAGCGTGAATACTCCAAGAAAGTTTATGATGTGGAGATCCATGGCTGCAAGTTCTACCTGCCAGCTGCTTTCCATTGTGCATGTCACATTTCTGATATTTTTTGAATTATTTCCTCCATCTCCTTCATAAACATCCTCCTTCAGCTGAGTACATATGATCCAGTACCACTTCAGAAGAACATGGCTCAAGAAAATACCTCTCAGACAGCCATGCCTGCGGGTAGAGTGAGGAGGCAAATGTCAGAAACATTGCCAAAGGTGCCTAATCTTTCCTGGGAGGCTGGCTGCAAATATACAGTAGAGGTCACCAAACTGTAGAGGACACAATGGTTTTTTCTCAGCATTCTTGTGTGCAGAAACCTTCAGAGAGGGGAAATGTTCCCAGCCACTGCCCCAGAAAATACTGGTGTTTCTACAGGAGAGAGAGAAAAAAATGGCAAGGGAGAGGATATGGAGTTTTGTCAGGCTCTGGTATGAAATTCCATTCTTTTCTGGACAGGTAATAAACAGCACATGGTTGGTTTTCTAGTATAGACATCACCTGCTGCTAATATTACCTGATTGATTCACTTGAATACTTAGAATGAAAATACACCAAATCTAAAATTCTAAATATATAATCAGAGTTTAATAACATCATCAATTTATTTTCTGGATTATGAATTACACCCTCCCCCCTCCCACCCCCTCCCCTCATCTCTGTCCCAAAACTCATTGACCTGTCAGAACTAAAATAAACAAAGCAACCAGAAAAGATCGCTTATAGGAGAAAGGATTAACCTGATGGACACGTGGCCTAATCTATTATGGGAGAAGGCAAAATACCAGGCTCCTGTGGTTAGACCAGTGGTTCAGTCCAGAATTTCCAGTTCTTCTTTTCTGGTTGCCCTAGAGCATTCATTTGAGTGGTTTGTGGCACAGTTAATATTTGCAGAGCACTCAGAGTGTTAACAGTGCTACAACAGTATCAACACCAGATAATGATTTTGGCAAACTATCATTTGCCAATCAGTGGAACAAGGGACAGACCAGTTCGGAGAAAACACGAACCAACTTTCACCCCAGAACACAAAAATCAGAACCTTTAAGAAGAGATGTGAAAAAAGTTCCGTTAACTTCTTTTTGGTTTGTTTTCGGCTTAATTTCCCTGCAGAGCCACCCTCCAGGTTTCCTCGTTCCAGGTGGGGAGGGACAGAAAAGTACCAAGATAACCGCCAAAGAGATTAGCTGCCCTTGCCAGCTGTTAAGCTCCCCCCCAAGCCCTTAGGAAATACCAGAAATTATCACGAGCTTTCCCAGGTCCAAGATTTCTAAACCAAAGTAGCATTGGAGAAGTCTCTTAATGTCAAAGTGATGGTCCAACCTGAGCGGCCAACTTGATGGTTCACCCCACCACTATCAAGACAGCGTAGTGCCTTGAGGCCCAAACTCCACAGAGAGATGCTGGTACAGAGAGTTTATATGCAAAAAGGAATTGGGGGTGTTCCCATCAAAACATGAAACCCTGCTGGCAAGGCTTGAAGTGACGTTCCGGCGTCTTCCATTCATGAAGATAAAGGTGACAGGGCAATACAGGGGGCCTCAGGGGAACACAACACACATGGGTTTCTCTCTCTCTCTCTCTCTCTCTCTCTCTCTCTCTCTTTTCCTCATTCATACGGCCTCGACCCGCGTAAACCGCTTCCAAAAACGCAGCCTGAAAAGTCGTAGAAAACAAACAGAACGGAAACAAACTTCCCCTCCCCTCCCACCCCACGACCTGAATATTCACGAGAAGAGAAACACCAATTTATACAAAAACGCAATAAAAAAGAAATATTTACAAATGAAAGGAACGCCTTCTCAGTGGCCACTGTCAGAGGTGTCTGACAAGCTGCCATGTGTTCTGGATTGCAGATCGCTCTGTTAATTTGTTTGGTTTCTTTTTTCTTTTTTTTTTTTCTTTTTTTCTTTTCCTTTTTGTCCTTGTAATGAGAGAAGAGGGAAAGAATAAGAAGTTCCCTTGCCCCAAAGACTAAGGGGTGGCATTACAAAGACTCTCCCCCTCTTCCCTCCTTAATTTCCTCAGTGAAATATAAGAAAATATTCCTGTCACCAACCGTGCCCACCCTCTCTTCACTCTCTTTGACTTTACAGGCAAATCCCACCTTCCTCCCGCCCCAGCTTTAAAAAATAAATAAAAGGTAAATAAATAAAAGGCCTTCTGTTGGCTTAAATAGAGAAAGATAAGATAAAATCAACCAGGGTGCAGTGAGGAATGTGAGAGGTGGCTTTCAGCTCCAAGACATGTGGCTCATAAAGACGGAGCTGCCATCTCCTTTCAGAGACAGTCCCCAGCAGTGTCCCCATGCCCTTAGCACAGGGCTCTCTCAACACTTCCCCTGGTGAGCCATGGTCATTGAGACACTGGGACAGACCCACTATAAGCAGGAGAGACTTTGCCATATCTCTCAGGATGGAAGAGGTCGGCCCACACACCCACCTCAGGAGAAAGAAGACATATGAAAGGGGAGTTCATCTTCTCACTCCTACCATTGCTCCCTTTCCTTTAGTTTAACTTGCATCTGAAATGATACAATGGAAAGAAAAAAACACTTTTATCGATACTAGGTGCACCAGGAAAGCTGTCACTACAACTGCAGGGATAGGAAACCCTAGGCTATTCCAGCTTTGTACCTGTGCTAGTATCTCTCTCTCACACACAGAGGCACACATACATGTACACACTCGTCTCAGCCTTGCATGTCTTGTCTTCAGTCCTTGCACAAGCTTCTGTGCCCTCTGGCATTTATTCAAGCAGACCCCTTCCCAGGAAGACAAGCCGTGTACTTCCCCTGTACATTCAATAGAAAATATACATATGTATTTCCCATGGGTGTGGACACCCTCCTCCCATTTCCACATGTGCAAGGAGGCATTGAAAAAGTCCACCAGCACCACCGCCACCACATGCACCCTTTCATGGCATTTTTTTTTCCCCTCCAGCATGATGCCAGAATTGGCAGAGGACACCCTATTCTTTTTGTTCCAACCTGCTGGCCAAGGGTAGGGAGAGCAAGAGGATGAAACTCCTTTTTTCTCTGCCCTCCTCACTGAAAGGACATGCCAAAACAGGCTTGGTGTCCCCTGAAGTGACAGTGACAAAACTCTGCACCTTTCCTTACTCTTTAGCTCTGTTGCACTGTGTTTGTTATCCAGACACCTTGTAAGATCATGGGTTTATTTTCCTTTCTCCACAGACATTTCAAGTATAAAGTTATTGTATATACTCGCGTATAGGCTACCCCATACTATACACTGCTCCCGCCCTTAAAGTATGTCACAACTGGTTAGCAATTCACAGCTAACGAACCAAACCTGCGCCCCTTTCCTTTCATTTCAGTGCAAACCAGCATTATCTGTCAGAGATCCCAGCAGCCTCTCTGACTCCAGCGTTGCTTTCCCAAAATCAGACTCCACTTCCTTTCCATCACTCCCACTGGTCTGCCACAGATTCAACAGCTGTAATAACCAGAGTGAATCCACTAGCCAGACCCGCAGACCAGCCTTCTCTCCCTCCCCCCAAACCCCCAGCAGACAATTCAAAATTTTAGCGTAAAATTTCTCAGCATATACGCAAATATATATATATATTTCAGCCCTAAACCCCCATAGTCTTCACAAAATAATGTAACAAGAACCTCAGTATAGCTAACATGTAAGTGCATCATCAAGTTAGTCGTGTTATTCCCCCTTTACTTTCTCCACGTCTTCAAACTACCCTTTTCTAGGCAATTTTAGGGAGAGTTGCCTGAGCAAGCGTGTTTTCCTGCATGTCCATTACACTGCTTTTGCTGTCTCCTCCTGCCACACACACATGTGTGTGCGCACATGCCTTCCTCTGCCAGGAGCCAGCAAAAGTGAAACACTAGAGTCACTGCCGCTCCCCCTCAGCCCACCCCTTCCCTGTCTTTTTCTCCGCTTCCTGAAATCACGAGCAAGGATATCCAACTCTGATGTCACTGTAAAGTGCAATGGCCAGGAATGGAGGAGAATGGGAGGAGTGAGAACATGGAAAAAGATAAAAGGGGAGGGGTAGGAAAGAGGAGGAGGGGAAACCAAAGAGGTGGCACTTGTCACCAGTGCTGCACTACTCAGAACTCCAGTATCCCACAAATTAAGGATGACCCAGGAGAGTAACTGATGGGATTGATCCCACCCCACCCTCCCATGCTCCACATACACCCCCAGTCCCTCCCCATGCTCTTCCCCTCTCACTCAAACGTCAGACTCAATACTGGAGAGTTTCTCATAAACATGCCCGTTGCTGGAGCCATTGAAAGCCCTGGGGTTTTTGTTGTTAGGCACACAGGGGTTGGACTGGTTCCCTATACAGATGTCCTTCTGGAAACGGGCTGGCACAGCCCCATGAAGGGCTGAGACCACCGGCTTGTTGGTGGTGACAATGGCTCGGAAGTCTGGCCTGGCTTTGGGCCCTCCTGCCACCACAGGCTGCCTGAAGAAATATGATTTGCTGCCGTGGAGCAAGCATTGGTCATCCCCAAAAGTGGGGATGAAAGGGTTTTGGGTGACCCGGTCGGGGTAGAGCGACTTGCTGAGCATGTAGCCCCCGCTGCTGCCGGGGTTGTTGTGGTGGTGGTAGCTGGTGGCGGGCACTGAGGACTTGTTGTTGGCAAAGGTGGTCTCACTGGCTGGCATCTCAAACATGTGGGCGTAGGGGCTCCCTTCCAAAAAGCGGCCCTTGTCCTTGAGGCTGACGCTGCGGGGAGCCAGGGCCGAGTCATCCTTCTGCAGGTCCACAAAGGTGTCATAGGAGTGCTGCCGGCGGAGCTTGTTGCGGTTCTTCTTCTGCACCTTGGAGGCAGAATTGGAAGGGCTTTGAGGATATTTGGAGGAGGAAGTGGCACTGGTGGCCACGGGCACAGGGGCAGGCGGCTGGTCCAGCTCTTGGAGTGAGTTGTCCTCACTGATGTCGTACAGGTTGCCCGCTTTCTTGCAGGCCTCACAGCGGATGCAGGCCTGGCGGGTGGAGTTCTGCCCCACCACCGATGGCGTGTAGTTGTGCAGCTTAGAAGGGCAACCACGGCAGAAATTAGCCCCAGTCCGGTCCTCCCAGTCTAGATTGGTCAGGTTCTTCTCCCACGGCGCTGGGACCCCACTCACAGCACCATGTTTGTGCTCGTTGCCTCCACTAAACTCTCCCGAGCCGTGCTTGTGGTGGGCCCTGTTGGTGCAGGATCCACTCCCTCCTCCTCCTGTGTCACGCTTAAACTCATCTCCCCGCTCTTTATAGATATCCGTCAGGTCCACATGTTCCCAGTGCGGTGAATTCTCCTTGGCCCGAAACTGGTCCAAGTAGAAGTCCCGTAGCCCTTCCTTGTCCCTAAAGTAACGCTTGTGGTCAGGTGAGCGGGGTGGGCGCCGGCGGTAGGCCAGTTCTATCTCATCAAACTCCCGCCGGGACTTGGCAGAGGCTGGGCGCTTCTTCAGGCTATCCTTGTACTGCTGCTTCCGCCTCTTGGCCGCATTGCCCTCGATGTTGCCATAGGTTACTGTGTGAGTGGAAATGTCAGAGACATCCGAGCGGATCAGGTCGTCATGGGCCCCGCTGCCCCCATAGCGGTCACTTTTGAAGGAGAACTTGCCATAAAGGTCACCCAGCTGGCTGTGCTTGGCAGGGGGTAACCCCAGGTCCAAGGGCTTCTTCCCGATGGACCGTGACTGGGCATTGAAGGGGGGGTTGTCACAGTCGTAGAGCCCATCAATGGAGCTGGTGCTGCCAATGCTGTGGGGGCGGTGGTGGTGGTGGTAGTGGTCCTGATACACATTGCTGTCCTTCAGCTGGAGGTTGCCAAAGGTCCTTTCCACCTCACTAATATAGTCACTAAAGAGGTTCTCCTCACAGGGTGGGTTGTTGTAGGACTTGCAGTCTGAGTGGGTGAAGCTGCGGCGGTGCTCGGAGATATCATAGACCGATGACTCACGGCGGATAAAGTCCAGGGCACTCTGCGGTGAGCCATTGACCCCTGACAGGTTGGCCATGTTCTTGGCTGTCCGAAGCAGGCGGAGGATGTTGGAATGGGTGTTGTTCATAGTTGCTGTGGGGGAGTTCATTGCTGATTGGCGTTCCTCGATGGCCACACCATGGATGCAGCTGTAGATACCCTGAAATGAGAGAAAGCAGGAAGGTGAGTGGTCCTGCAAAGTATACAAGGAAGGGGACCTGGACTGGGAAGCACCCTGTGCAGCAACAGTATGTTCCTGTAGGGCAGCAAGGCCTGTCAGCCTTCCATCACAAAGCACAATCAAATCAAGATAAATCAGACTTCCTCTACCAACCCTTACTGTTCTGCCCCTCTTTCTTGCCCCTCATGTTTTTTCATTTCCCTCCATTTCTCTTCCCCTGCTTTGCTTCATCTCATATCTGTAGGATGCAGGAATATCTGCTTGTATCTGCAAAAGCTACTCAAATCTAGTAGGTGTAACATGAAATTGAAAACAGGGAAAATAAAATCCTTGGGAAGGAAAGCATCAAGACAAATAATTCTGTGTGGACGAGAGGAAGAAAGTCTGGTTTGGCCCTTGAAATTCATCTCGACATCAGTGAACCAATGAGACAGGAGCTATCTTAAAAAGGGAACAGCTGCATTTGTCATAAACTTAGCTACATTAATCACCAGTACAGATTAGAAAAGGAAACATAAAGAGCAGGACTGCCGAATAGGTATTTAGGTCTTTTGCATCTAGCTGAGTGAGGTACAATAGAATTTTTAATTGCATTCTGTTAAATTTAACAGTGATAACAGGCTCTAAATTGACATCTCTGAAAGCAAAAGTCCTCTATTCAACCTCAAATCAGACAGCAGAAGTGCCTGTTTCCTCCACATTCCCCACCGGCTCATTTCAGCCATGACACAGACTGTTCGCAAGGGCTACCCCTAGGAGCAGTAGGAAAGGGGCTCATTTATTCCCTGGCGTGCCAAATGGTGCCTGCCGATTAATTGTAAAATGTGTTGATTGTGAAATGGACACCACCACATCATGTTACTATGGTTTCTTAGCAGCTAGCAGATGATTAACAGTTTTCAGACTTTTCACCAACCTGGTCCAGTTCTAACAGATAACCACAGAATGAAAAAAATCTTTACTTACCTAAGAATCACCAAACACAATCCCCCATTTCATATCCAGACTAAACCAGGTTAGAAACTAACAATATAGAACAGAGGCTGTGCCCCTGCATTCAAAAGGCTTTGTTGTTTTTCCTCAACAACATGTTATGTAGCAATTATATACTCCTTGCACAAGCAAAATCAATTCTGTTACATCGGACACTGAGGTCAAAAATGATGAGATTTGACCTCACTTCAGAGTGGATCAGGAGAAGGGACCAGTGGCTTGAAAGAAGAAAATAAAGCTCCAAATGGGTCACTGCTAGCTACACTAATAGCAGAAAGATCACTCAGAAATTACTAGAATCTCCTTCAAATTTAAATATTATACCCTAAGGCATATTTACATTAATCAATTGCTAAGTCGTGTGGTCATCCTCTCTGGAAGGACTTCTGCATGGTTTAGGGCATGGCTTTTGGTTAGGGTCTTCTGGGTGTCCATGATAGCACACTTCTAGTTAACATAAAGTCAGCTGAAATGCTGTAATAGAGAGGATAATGGAGAACTCCTGATTTTCTAATCATGTTATCCACCATTACTTGACTTACTGTCTTCATATTTGGCCTCATCACAACTCACTTTGGAGGAGCAGACAATTACAGTTATCTTCTCTTTATACTGCATTTTCATTTCCATGTGAAATTTCCATTTCCATGACCATAATCCAACAGAGACCAGAGATGTCACAGAACAACATTAGATGCTCTTGCAACATTAACAGTGAAAAGATGCTAGCCTTTAGCCTGCAGACCACCACTCTATGCCACCTGTGTGTTAGAGTCTTGGATTTCCCAGTACCTAGGACTGTCTGAACAGAGCCTCTGTTCCTCCCCACTAGATAATGACACTCACCCTGCTAATGGAGAAGACCACACCAGGCTTGCCAGAGCAGACGCCCATGAAGCAGTGGCGGAATTGCCAGTAGAAGAGATGCTCACAGATGAAGGTGATGAGACTGAGGGCCATGGCTGCTCCCAGCATGTAGAAGACACCTGCCATGTTATCTATATCCAATTGGCTGCTCATAACCTCGTTCTTCTCATTGTGACAAATGCCAGTGAGCCATAGAGCTTCCAGCTCCTCCATCTCCCCTAGAAAGACAGAGAAAAAGAAACAAACAGGTTAGACAACCCTGCAAAGGCTAAAGAGCTCAAGTTGGGGCAGACTAAAAGCAAGAAGCTGATCTAAGGTAATTTCCAGTGACCGTGCTCTTTTTCCATATCTATTACATCCATGAAATACCTTGACTGCCCTTCTGATGGGGGCAGGTGCAATTTGTCACAGGGAAGGCAACAGGATTTTTCCATACCCAGACAGTAGTCAAAAAAAAGCGGTACCACAGGACATAGCTATCACACTTGCCAAATGTCTACAGTGAGATCCTGAGTTGTCCACCAGGTGACTGAAGACCTGCCCTCACAAACTTCCACTTTCATATTAGGTCAATGAAGAAAAAAATCAGTGACTGATACTGGTAGACAAAAATGAGTCACTTCTAAATGAAAATGTTATGTTTTCATCTCAAAATTCAAAATGTGGATTTTTTTTTAAATCAAAATGACTGATTCTGAACTTGTTTCCATCATATCCATAGCCCGTTAAAACTAGGTGCAATGTACCCAAAAATATTTGTGCATTTTTCCCTCTTTTGCACCCCATCAATTTTGTCCAAATTTAACACTTCCAAGCCCTTTGACCAATCAAAAATATTACTAATTTGTATCAGCTAGGAACAAATGTTCTGTAGTCTAATTTCATACCCCACTTATTCCCATTATGGTATTTTCATGAGGGGAGAGAGAGAGATAAACACTCACACACACGCGCATACTGAGACATTCAGAAACAAACTAATTTTGCAGTTTGGCAATTCTTTTCACGCTGTTAGGAAAGGTAATTTTTCACATTTTCAACCTCCAGTCCAGTGACAGGGGAAAAAAATCTGTATATTTATGTGGCGCCATAGCACAGCCTTTTAAAGCTTTATGGAGAACCTACGCCTTTTTCTGAAATAATACATATTAGACTGTTTAGGAGACAGAACACCCTATCCATCAGGTGGACAATTTTCTGCTGAAGTGTATCAGAGCTATGTTCTTTCCATATTTATTATGTCACATGTTATTTTCAGATTTCAGAAAAAACCAAATACTTATAAATAAAAAATACTGAGAACTTTATTTATTCAAAAAAAGGATACAGCAAGATGTAATATGGAATGGAAAGGGAAAGTCAAGAAAATATTTTCTAAGAAGGAATTCCTTATCCCACAAATAATTCTTTTTAATAATACTAACTTCTCTGTAAAGGATGGGATGAACTAGGTAACTATAATGTTCTGATTAAAAACTCACTCCAAAATATGCTTCTGAGTCTCAAGTCCCTCCTTGGGTTTTTGAGTTAAAATCTGAGTTAACTCTTTCATCCAGAAATATTTATCCTTTAATTTTGCAAACTCTTCATGGCTTGATCCTGTCTAGAACTAGAAAGCATGGGAAGACCACGGAAAGTCCAGTATAATTAGTAGGTTTAGTCAGGGCAAAACCTCAAAGATAGTGAAAAGTTCATAACATAAATCTTGTTTTTACAAGACATTCTTTGCACAAGATATTTTTCAAACACATATCTGAGCTGGTTCTATGAAACCTTCAGTGCTTTTGACATTGCTTTTGATGATACTGCTACCCTGCATCAACAACATAAAACAAGTGACAGCCTCACAGTTTTGGTGTAATGCCTCTAACAAACCCTTGTTAATAATTTCCTGTTCTCAACTCAAATGTGGAGCACCAGAGCTAGGAACTTTTATTTCTTACATGCAAAACTTGGTATTTCTTAGGAAAACTCCAACTCCTCTTTTTCTTGTCACTTACCATCTCCAAAAAGCTGTAGAATGGCAAGATCCACCTGGCGCTTCCAGCCTGAGTCCTTTTGGATGGCAATGCCATAGCCAGTGGAGGCAAACACTTTCCCACTCCCAATTGTCACCAGCTTGCAGCCTTCATCTCTGCCAGCCATGTAGTTTAGCACTGCTGCATCATAAATGAAAGCATCCAACTTCCTGCACAGGTGTAAGAAACAAGAGGGGTATAGTACCGAAGAGAGAATCTGTATGAATTCAAAGGTGTCCTCAGGTAATTAAGGCAGAAATGAACATTTTCAGACAGATTACAATAGGTTGCATCTTCACCTTCATCAGAGTTAACTAAAATCTGAGCCTAGAACCTGTTTACAGGTGAAGCTAGATTATAAATTAGGACTGTCTGTTTCTTTCTGGCTCTTTGATAATCATCATTTCTGATCTGAAAGAAAATTTGGAATACAAACATACTGCAAGATAAAGATGAATGAAGAGGAAGTCAAGGGGATCTATAGTCCTAAAAATAGCTTAAAATTCTGTGCTGCCTTTCATCTCAAAGGAACCTAAAATACTTTATAAAATGTATCAATATTAGATAGTAAAGTAGGGGTTGGAGTAAGGAAAATATTATCTCCAATTAAAACTGCTGGCATTACTTAGTTGAGCAAAATGTGATTTTTAAAATTAAATATAGTCAGGACATCATGTTTAACTCCTCAGTTACTGTGAAAAGCACTACTGGATCTTTCCCAATGTCAAGTGGCCACAATAGCAGCTTTATGGTTTATCATGCTGAGTAGCTCTTTAGTAAAGAGTGCTTAGCTGAAGGCCACAAGAAAAATTCTGTTTCAACACAGAAAAATCCCCATTATGGGCTGGGATGGGTAGACAGCACAACAGACTCATGAGAGCCTTCCTCTCACTGCAACAAATTGATTTGGGTGTGGGGAGCAGTCTCAGGGGGCTGCATCTTCCACATAACCAAAGACAGCTGATGAGTAAATCCTCCCACTAAATCTGAAATAAAGCACTTTCCAATAAAAGACCAAAGACCTTCCACCTTGCACGTTCTCACACCCATGCTATCTTTTCAACCCACCTCCTGCACATATATTTCCAGTATGATGATTATCTCAGTTCAAGTACGTGTATGTGGGGAAGTCTGGCCAAGGGTGGATATGAAGCCAGGATGACTTCTACCACAAGTGATGAGCTCTATTTCATCCATATATTTCCAGGACAGAGCATATTTATTTCCTGGATGATGACTATCCTGGCAAATGTACCTTCCCAGGATGGCATCCAACAATGGTACAATCATTTATAATGGGCTGTGTGCCTCTGAACCTGGCAAACAGGTTTAGGAATATTCAGTCAATCTAGTAATTAAATTGGCTGAACATCTTCATTCGTGCTTTGGAATGAACTTTCTCATAAGAGTGCAACACAAGTGTAAGCAAGAATGTTTTTTTTTTCGCTAGGACTGGGCTTTAATAACCAGAATGGTCAGCTCTGGGAGGAGGTCTTTAATTATAAGTGACAAAGGCTTGCGAAATGGTGTTTTAAGTTAGCACCTTTACAGATTTGCTGCTATTAAAATAGGGTGAGCTGTTCAAATATACTTTTTGCTAATGATTTTTCACACCTTTCCCAAACTACCCAAGGAAATGCTCCCATTTTATATACTTCCATATTATTCAAACAACGTTTTGTTCAGCCCTTGATACTAAAATATTCCAGAGAGAAGGGCTACTTCCAAACTATTTGCTTCAAGCACACCTTCCATTATACTATATTAGCTAGTGATACACTGGGGTGGGATTAGTCTGACAAGGATTGTTTCAGCTTCCTGATTAACATAATGTTTTATACACAGAAGGAGGGAAAACAAAGGAATTTCCAGACGACAATATAAATGCTCTGAAAAAAACTTTGTCCACAGAGGTTTGTGAGCTTTTCTATGTGTGCATAAGGACTGATCAGCATGAAAAATCTTGATGAAGCAAGGTCTTTGGGACTAATATAGACAAGGCTAACAGGCACAAGGATACAGATCCTCTTTGTTTTTTTAAATAGTCTTATAAACACAGCAAACCCAGAAACTCTTACACAGATGTCAATAGAAAAAACTGGCTAAGAGAACCACAGAATCATTCTCCTGTGCTGTGTGTGGTCTTGCGATATTTTTAACCATGGAATGATAATGGAGGTTTGTTTTCCAAACCCCACAAAAAAATTTCAGACAAGCATGCAAAGAAGTCAGTTACTGTGGTGAGTAAGCATGGAAGAAGAAGAAAGCCTCACCCAGTCTTCAGCGAGAACAGGGCATCATCCACCCCCCTCTGATTGAACTTCACCATGTAGCTGTGCATTTCAGGGTAGTTGTTGCGAATGTTCCTTTCTGTGCTGCCATTGGGAACTGTCCCGAAGCGGAAAGGGGGTGAGAAGTCATTTGGTTTCTGGAACTGGAGAGACAGAAAAAGAACATTTCTCACAATCTTTCATCAAGAAGCAGTCATCTGAATGGGAGAACACTCCTCAGAAGGTCGTCCTGATTTTATTTTACTATCATGTAGAAAACATGCTATTGAGGATGTATTATATTTCACCGTTTTCAAACACAAACATCTCCTGTTAGTGCCTAAGAATGCAGAAGTGAACCTGAGCAAGCTGGTCTTTTTGTCCACTCTGGATTAAGTGCATAAGATAGCCAGTGATCAAAGATTAAAAGGAGGTCAGATAAAAGGAAAAAGGAATGGGAAAAGTAACAGCATCTTTGGAACAAGGTCAAGGAAAGATTTTCAATAAAATCTATGTGCGTTTTACCCACAAAGTGTCACACAGTTTCTAAGAAGTATCTTTTTTAGCTCTGTGGGTGCCTTTACACTTCCTGATTCTGACTGAAGTAGAAAAGTAATTAATGAGAAGAGATGCCTCTCAGAACACCTCACACCCACTTCACCAAACCAATGATCAGCTTTCAGACTTTTGGGCAAATGTCCCAAATGAAATGCTATTAGTGGCTGCAAGTCACCAGTAACATTTAATGCCCAGAACAAAGCTGGCAGAGTACTCCAAAGCTTTTGCTGCTCCCAAGAAATACATTCATCATAACATTCCCCTACGGCTGCAAGGCTGTGAGATTTTATATGCCACTTGCTTAACTCAAGTCATAATCAATGCTCTCTGGGGTTTTATGAGCAGTAAAATTTAGACTGTCAATTATCAAGACTGCTTAAAACCCCTAGAACCAGCAGACAGGAAGGAGCACAGAATTTTAAGCCAGGAACTGAATAAGCAGTAAAGAAAAAGATGCAAAGGTAGGTTAGATGGAGGCAAGCCCTGTTCTCTCTTGATATATGAAGCAGTAGCTTGCCTGCTGCTAATTCTTGACTCCCAACTATGACTGTATATTTGGATGAATCTGAGAATTTAGAACATGCTAACGGTTGGTTCACCTGGCACATGAATATATGCAGTCATGTACTGTCACCTTGTGTAGTGGAAATGCAGCTGCAGTCTATAGCTATAGCTTAAAAACATGCAGATAAGCCTTGTTATTGAGTTCTGCTCAAAGCCAGTTTGGAACCTGGTCAATTCAGCTGGGGATGCCAAAGCATCTAACGCGGTGTATCTCGTTCACATCATCTCAGCAATAAGGCCAACCAGGACCTGTGTCTGTGGGTAGGTGAAAGCACTGTTCACATCACCTGTTTCCATGTACCAGTCAACTCACCTGGCTATGCAAGGAATCATCTCTCCAGTTTGGATGGTGAGATGGGCTGGCTTGTATATGCACACAGGAGTGTGTGAAAGAGAACACATATCCTACGGCTTTAAGCCAATAGAAAACATCAGGGCTGTTTTTTTGAAAAACAGGTTGTCACATCACCAAAAAAAGGGAGGTTTCACATAGCATAAAACAGGCAGTAAGGTGGCTCTTAGAATCTTGTCACACCCGCTAGGGATGAAGACAAATTCATAACTATCAAAACATGTAATGAAAGCAAACTTTGATGGGAGAAAAATCACTGCAGCATGCTAAAATTATTCTTTTTTACCAAGTTGATTATAGCAGCAGCTTAGGGCACCCATCACAAAAACGGCATTGCCGTGCCAGGTGCAAAGGAACACAGTCTCTCCCCTGACATGCTAAAACAGGAGTTTGCAAAGTGGGCAGCCTGCTTCCCCAGAGGCTGCAGAACGCAGCCTTGAGGGCAGGTTCTCATAGAGCCCTCCAACAGAGTAAAGTCAGCAGGACAAGCCACAGGCAATCCCAGCCAACATTGGTGTGACCTCAGCTTCAGCATGTCCTTTGGAGGGGCAGCAGCTATGAGAGCCTCTGTCTGGGCACAAAGAGTGTTAAGAGAAAAAAAGGCCCCATCCAATGTCCATTTTATACCTCTACCCTCCATTGCTAATGATACAATCTCTAGCCTTGTCTGCTTCCATCACTGTGTCTATGAACTGGAATAAGGATTATAGAGTCAGGCAGGGCTGTGATAAGAGAAAAGATCCCATCTCTGAACTATCCTCTATCTCTCCTGTGTTCGAGGGCCCATTTTAGCAGCCAAAGGTGAAAGGTTTCATATTTAATTTTTAACCTCCTGGGCAATGAATAAATAAATGAAAATATTCCTCTTGAAGGAAATCATAGTTTTCGACAACTGGAAAAGCATGTTTCTAGAGAAGAAGCCTAGGCTGATGGCTCCTACAGAACCACATACTGCGCATTCACTCATCATCCCTTACCCCCTGCTCATTCCTCAGTTAGAACAGATCTGCAAATGCAAATTATTCTCCACACACCCACATGCACAGACACTTCAAGCATAGCCTGGTGGACAACAAGACAGGAAACATTCTCAAAGGATCTGTAGGGGACCCACACTAGAGATCTTTAGCTTGAATGCTCTCCTGGCCACCTGGTTTGGTGTTTGCAAAGCTGAAAGCAACTCCAGCTGACTCCACAGCCCGTTAGGCCAGAGATAAGCACCTAAGTTCTCCACGTTTGAGAAGTAGTAGTGGTACATGCATGCAGCTTTCTGGCAAGAGATGACAGCTGAAAAATCCCCATGTTTGTTGCTCAGCAGCACATGGGCACAACTCAGTCCAGGGATGGAGGGATCTCCAAACAGTTCTCCGCCAAAACTGCTGCATCATTCTGAGCTCACTTCTGCCCCACACAGCTCCTACTGAAGGAGGAAGAAGCCTTCCCAGAAAATATATGGGACGCATGGGGAAGGAGTGTGTCCTCTCCTGGTAACACAGTGGAGGAACATGTGTGGAGGAACTGGAGAAGAAGGAAAGTTAATTGACACTGTTGTCAAAGAGTTCAGAAAGGAAAGCTGCTTGTTTGGCTTCTCCCAAGGGCTGGGAGAGAGGGCCTGGATCAAAAGTGTCAGCCCCAGGGAAGCATGGCACTTTGGCAGACTGGTCTAGAAGAAGTCTGAGAGGTATGAGACAGGAGCTGAGGCAGAATACAGGAGCCATTACACAAAGGCAGCCTGCGTAGAGGTAATCTCAATGCCTCAGTAAATATCGACAAAGGAATTAACCACAGATATTGACAGAAAGGGTCAGAATTTGGATTAATGAGAACCCTCCCATCATTTCATGTAATGTTTCTTCTGCTAGAGCCCTAAGTCACAACTACTCTACCCCAGGCATCTGCAAAGACAAGCCCTGTGAACCTCTGGCAAAAAAATCTGGTGGTTAACAGTGGAGCGGAAGATAAGCAACTGCACTGGTTGCTGAGCAAACACAGCTGCAGAGTCACAGAGAGCAGCAAACAGGGCTGTACAGGGCCTGCACTTGTAGGAGCCCACTTCACACCTCCCTGCAGCAGGAGCCCTATCCTGCCGCCCAGCTCTACCTATATCAAGGGGTGATTGCCTGAGAGGTAATCTGCAGGGCTTGGCTGCAGCCCTTCACCCAGAGAGCCCCAGGCAGAGGTGTACCCCACTTTCAGTCTCTCCCTGGCTCTCCGTGGGGCCTTGGTCATGAGATGCTCCCCTTGTACCCAAGGTGATGTGACATGCTCTTGCCCATGATAGAAATCCCTTACGGAGCTGGCTTCACATCAAATGTGGGGGGGAGGTGGATGCTAGAGCTGGGGGTGGGAAGCAGACACCAAGCATGCCTGAAGGGCTGAGGTAGCTTTGGGACATGAGACGTCTGTGTTCAGAGCCCAGCAGCTGCCCGCCTCTTCAACCCCTCACTCCACAGATTGAAATCAAGAAGCATTAAGTCCAAATCAGACCACAGCTTTTGGAAAGTAACCTCTCGGAGTCAGAGAGCAGAAATCTTCCTGCTCTGGAGAGCGATAAACACGCAGGCTGGGGGCTATTAGCACATTCAGAGTGGAGAGCCCCTTTCCTGCTTCCCCTCCCCGCAACTCGCCATGAGAGCTGTCGGCAGCAGCAGCGAGAGTGGGTTTAAGTGACTTGTCTGGCAGAGCTGTTTCATTAGCAATTTGGAGCCTTGCCGTGCAGAAAGCAGCATTGTTCTCAGATGTTTGAATATCAATCTGCATAATGAAACAGGTGATAGGAGCTTTTCCCATTCAGGCAGCCACAATTGGAGGGGATTCAGGGATGAGGGGAAGGGGTTATGTCTAATTGGCCGCAATTAATTTGATGAGAATTTTTTTTCAATATATTGTCTATCGCCAAATGGTTCCTACAGAAAAGCGCATCTGCACTTATTTATCTGCCTGATGTAGGCCCTGTTTACACTGTAAAGTGTTTGCCAATAACATTGAAAGCAGTTTCCCAAACTCAGCAAGCTCTCACAACCAAAAGCCTCTTTTTTATCAGTCGAACTACTTTTACACTGCTTTAAAAAAAAATAATCCCCTGCTGGGTAACATAATGAGCTGCCAAAATTTGGTGTGAGAGTGTGTGTGTGTCTGTACATGCATAGTGCCTTACCCTCACACAGCTTCTCTGGAAGGGCTCCTTTCACTTTGTAAGGCCCAGGCCCTCGGTTTAAATTTTCTACCCCAGGAAGCTCCACAGCTCTGACCCGCCAACACAAGGTTAGGTACAAGTCTAAAAGAGCTTCAGCCCATGTGAGATACTCTAAGTTCAGTTCATCTGCCCAAGTGTCAAGTGCCAAGTTGAGATGCCCCAGGGTATTTCACCCTGGGAGCAGGTCTCTCATAGCCCCTGTGTCAGATTTGCCAGCCACCTGAGAGTATTTTGGATAATCCGGTGCACCTAAATTGGCTCTAGACATCTACATGTGCACAGCTGAATCTAGCCACTGGACCATTTGGCCCTCAGGACAGCTTCTCCCACCAAACATATAGGAAGCCAGCTGCTATGGGTAGCAGCATCACTGTCTTGAACTAGCCCATCAGGGCATCAGTCACAACCTTTTAAGCAGGCACCTATAAGCAACACTCTGCTTGCTCTTTTGACAGCAGTACAACCAGCAGATATCTGCTGTGGTACAGGCCAAA